GATTTCCTTCTCCAGCACATGGATAAATACACCTGGAAACATCTACCTACCTACCTACTCACTCTCTCTCTCCCTACCTACCTACTGCATTTCTCTCTGTCTCCCTTTCTATCCCTCTATCTACCTACCTACTTTTTTTAAAAATTTGTCTCTTCAAAACCTTGGTGTGTCTTATATTCCGGTGCGTCTTATACTCCGAAAAATATGGTAATTTCCTATGCCTTTTGGAGTGAAAAGTAGATATGAAGTCTGTCATTCCTTTGTATACCTAATTTGACTTTAAAGACCATACTATACTGGCTTCATTTACCCAGGAAGATCTTATCTAAACTCTGAAAGCTATGTAAATATGGATCAGCAGCATGTGACAACCCCTGGCCAACCTTAATGGGGCTCTAAAGATAAGCAAGGTGGGTCCAGTTAGGGCATGCGTGGGAATGCTCTGAAAAAAAAATGGGCTGTAGGGTAAACTGATTTAAACAACAACATACCACTTTTTTACAACTATCAAGAAAGCTTCAAGGATATGTCCATGAAGTTCCCAACAGCCTTTGAAATAAAACGCCCATGTAATACAGGGGTAATCCACAAGGTGGTAGTAAAATATAATAACTTCTCTCCTTGCTTGAAAAAAATATATTATATTAGCCCTGGATCAGCTTTAATAAAAAGCAAAGTGGAGTTTTTCCTGATAGTTTTATGATGCATGTTAATGTACAAAGGCTGATGCATAAATATGTATGGACTTAGTAATCCCTGCCCAGTTTCATTATGTGGAGAGAATTCTACGTGGAAGAATATTTGTATGAATTCTTTTTGTATGGAAATGACTAAATTATGGGAAAGCCTTTAATAATAAAAAAGAATGAAATGCAAGTCAGCATTCAGTGTGTCCCTCTTATTTAGCTAAATTGATTGTTTCTGAGGTATAAGTGGGAAACCAGGGTGAACAGCACTTCTTGGTTAACTCAGCTATCCAAAATACTTCGGGCGTATTCTAGCACCTAAAAATAATGAGGATATAATCCATAATAGATTTCCAGCATACATATTTCTAAACAATGATTTATGGATTTTATTTTATTTTTTGCATAAAAAGTAAGGCAAGATGCCATTAACAAATGGATATTATATTAGTACTTTATGGTTCTGTTAATTATAGGGGTGATTCTTGTAACAATGTTATAATTCAAGTTTTTTTTTTCTTTTTCCTACTTCTGATTACCTTCAGAAGGCAAGGAGTGAAAAACAGCCTTCGTCTAGACAGGAATTATCATCAGGGGTCTCTTCTGCATCTGTCTGTGAAAGGTATGGAATTGGGTTTTTCTCCCTCCTATAATAATGCATTGTTTGTCCTTGCTTTCTAGTTTTAAAATATATTTCCCCCTTACTTCCTGCCTTCTCCCATCCCACTTCTAAGATAGATGTTTAGAATTTCTTTACAACTTCTGGTTTGACACAACACAACTAATGTGATTTCCTTGGTTTTGGCTTTTGCTTTGTAATTTATGATTTGGGACTTAGGCAATATAAGTACATAGGCAACTGCAAATAAACCAGGCTCATCCACTAAGTCGTGATTAATAAAACCACGGCTTAGGGTGATGTGTGCTCTAAACTGAACAATTAATAACATAAAAGCTGCAGTGGACACCTGGTGCCTTAATTAATAGAAAGGAAAGGCTTGGTCAAGCAGAAGAGCAAATAGGTATTAAAACCTAAGCATTAAAACCTTCACTTGCTGGATTTCACAGGGATCGATTTAAATGATACTTGAAGCCTGGATCACTTTTCAAAAATTCTGGATCTGAATTGAAAAAAGAATCAGGCTGGAACAGACTGTCTCCAAAGCCAGAATTATGATCTCCAAGAAGATAAAAAAACAAAGTGATTATTTCACCTTTCACTGTGCTCACTGATTTGCATCTTTTAGGACATATTCCTCTCTCCAAGCAGCTCTGGGTCCTCAGTCAACCTCTTCTGATTTCAAGTGCTCCAAGAGAATCCCTCACTATCCAAATATGCTTAAACACTGCAGATGGAGAGGCATTGTATCCATGGATGGTGTCAATAAGGGCTGTTTTCTACATACCGTTCAAGGATAAATGACAGGGATATGCTCAAATTTATTTTGCTTTCATCCTGCATACCAAAATAAAAGTATTATATTGGTTCATGCTGGATCTCTCTACTTTAAAAAAAGAACATACTCAGCAGAGAAAAACACTGATTATCTTTATGCCATAAGTTACTTCAGTTATTTTAATTTCTCACACTTTCCCCCTGAAAACCCCCTCATGCTCCAATATTAATTTTGTTGGAGGCCGGAAGGACAAATAACAAAATCCCTATAGTATGCTTGTTGTATTCTCTAATGGAGGCTGTAATATGTAAGAATCATTTAGTTTGTGGGGTGGAGGAGTGGGGAGGTTTAATCACATCTCTGTGTGGTATTATTTCAGCCAGTTTGAGAATCTCTCCTTCCCATCAGCTACCTTATCAAGTTACCGTTTTATCAAAATTTCTTAAAGATTGGATCATGGATCCCCTCCCATAATTTGTGGCCTCGAGTCTGGGTTGCAAGCACAGATGGTGCTGGTGTTTTTAACGATATGCTTGTTGTGCTAAAGGAAACAGAAAAAGCACAGGGCAATACTTTACATCTGAAATCATTAATCTTTAGGGATGAACTGGAAAGTGTTTTCTGGGGCATGAAGGAAGAATTCAGTCGAATACGTGCACTGGCAAGAGCACAGACGGACCAGCTGAATAAATGTAACCTAAGGAGAGAACCTACAACTGGTATCATTTTATTGCAGTACTTTCTTCTGAAAACTATGCTTTACTGCCTTCTAAGTCTTTGCATCGACTGCGTAGAGATTCCGTTTAAGATTACCCATACCTTTTTGATATGCAGAATGCTACATAATATAATGCATTTATTTGATATGGCAATAACCCTTGGGTTTTGGGGAAAATACCAGTGCGTCTTCATTTATGGCATGTGATTTGACAGCTCACTTTGCTGTGAGTGTACAAATTCCATTTTGCAGTGGTTGTCTTGATGAGTTTACTGGCAAAATAAAGATTTTTGGTCACTCCAAAAATAGACTATGTAGAAGGAGAAAGGCAACAGTGTCTGTGTTACCTCACTCCTTCCTAACTACCATACATTGCTAGCAAAAGCTTACTATGACCTCAACTGGCAAAAAGCCATTTAGATTTAGGAATTTTGGTCGATTAGGTTTACAACCACATTCTAATGAATACATTTACATCTTTGCACCAGACATGTTCACTGACGGTGGGAACTCTAAATTCAGATGTTTGGGTTAGAAAGTAAGGTCCTTATTTCCCCTTGATGCAATACTGTATCAGGGTTTGTTTGCTTATTTGTTTGTTTGTTTATTTTAATATGCACGGTAGTGAGATAATCTCAGTGCAACACAAGCCTCATGTGAGGCTGCTCTGGTTATTTAAGCAGATATGAATTTGCATGTTGTTGCATGGTATATGGAAATGATGCATACTATACAGGTTTGCTTCAATATATGTTTTGTATATACATCTATCAATCTATCTATCACATATCCAGAAGTATAATGTGATGCATTTAATCCACAGTCTAAGATACCTGATTTCTTTTTTAAAAAAATATGAGTGGCACAAGAGGATTTATCTAATAATTCACATGTATTTCTAGGGATTGGGCTGCTGGTAACATTTTGAGCAGACTGAAAAAGCAGCATACTATGACTTAATTTTCTTCTAGACATAAGTCATTTAATGTAATGTGAAAGTCTAAAAGCTACTGACATGCAAAGCATTTCAGGTTTGAGCAAATAAATACACAAGTTGAAAGCTATTTTGCATTTGAAATGGACATATTTTGGAAGTATTTTGCACTCTGATAACTCCGTTTTCAAGTTCAAAACACCCTGTTTCAATCTCAGAGCACTTCCTAGTGATTGAAAGAGCCTTTTAAAAATGCAAACTTGTTTCAGGTTTTGAATTTAAAACAGTTGAAATTTGAAACATTTGCACACCCCCTACTGAAAGCCCTTTCCTCACCTCAGTTGTAAAAACCATCTTTGCTAGATCAAACCAAAATCTGTCTAATCTATGACAGCCAACAGGGGCCGATCAGATGCTCCTGCAAAGTATATGCGCTTATAACCCAATTTTCGACATTCTTTGTTCTCTAATAATAGCTGCTCTGATTGCTAGGCTTGACTGATTTATAGCTAACTTCCAGAGCTTGGGCAGCTTAGGAATAGCTGGTGTAAGTGCTTTGCAGTATAACATGCATTGGAAGAAGTTAAGTCTGGACAGAGACAGTCATTTCCGTGAATAGTTATAGGGTAAGCTAATTCAGACATGGCTTTTAACCTGCCAGAATTGTCTGTATTTTACCAGAGACAAATATGGGCTTCACTTAGTCTCTAGTAAGTGCAGATATGTAGCTGTTGTAGCAAATGGTACAACATGGCTGAAATGATATGACCTGATGTGCTAAAAGGATGTCTTGTAGTTTCTCATCCAGTAGAATCTCTCTGAGCTAGGATTTAACACCATGGAAGAAGGAATAGTTAGTGACCCTTTTCAATCCATTCTTCCTCCAAGGACTCCCCTCCTCCCCAAAAGGGTCTCCGGAATGAAAAGGGGAAATCTTCTTAAGGGAAAGGAGGAAAACATGCCCCTTCTCTGTGGAGTGAAACAGTTGAAATCTGTCTTAGAGCACTGAAAGAAATGAGGCTGGTTTGAATGAAGCCAAGCTGAATTGAAAGAACAGATGTAGTTACAGATAGAAAAGTAATTTAATTTAATATAGAACTTATATGTAAGCAATGAGCCCTTGGGAAAAAGACCTGAAAGTCTGTCTAATTGTTAGACTACTAATCAAGAAAGCTTTAAAACTTTGACACATAAAAGCAATTGTGTAATATTTTACTTGAGTTCCAAGCAAGATTTCTAACGTGTTTATCCCTGAAGAAAGGAATTAATGGTTTGACATGGAGGAACATCAGCATCGGCCTGCTGTGTCAAATGAGGCAATGAGAGGAATAATGACATTTTAAAAAAAAACTGTTTAGAACCCAAAATCTGCCATAGTGAATTGTGGGGAATTTATTTATTTTAGTTTTATATATATGTTAAATTTGGAGACTGCCCATCTTCCTCACAGCGCAACCTCTGGGTGGTGGAATTTGTCAGGAATTTGTATAACTGAATGATATATTTTAATCTGGTCTTTGGGATATCTTTTAATCTTTTCCTTTGCTTTTTTTTTACCAGAAATTCCTTTTTCCAAGCCTATCCAGTGCACTGATGAACAAACGGATGACCTTTGTAATCCATGGGTTAAAAAGGATACCAACAGAGATGTACCTCATTTCCCATCTATTGCGTCAAGAGGAATGGGACCAGACGAGGAAGAAAACTCTGTGGAATCCCTTTCTAAGCTTAATGTCAAGTTCCCACCTACAGATAGTGATACTGAATTCTTGGAGAGCTCTTCAGAGACTACTCCAATTCTAAACACTCTGACGACTGAAAACATGCTCCCAAATCTGCCATTTAACATGGACCTTGGGGACCAGGAGGTGAGTTTCAATAAGATGAACTCTAACTGGAGGAGTACGAGCAAATGACTGTACTACTTCAGTGATGCAAAACAGGTCAAAGGTAAGTTTACCCAACCTTCAACTCACCCAAATCTGTTCATCCAGACTCTTTTGAACCAAGCTTCATGTTATATAAAAACATGTTTCTTTATAACTCTGGAACTAGAGACTATACTAGATAGAATATCTCTGAATTTAATTTTCCCCCTTCAGAACCGAATGAGAAAAATGTTGGGGCACCTCAACCGGTATCAATCTTTTAAAATATATAGTTTTATTTTTACTTATGATTGATCTGCGAGCTGTAAGATTGAGTAGAGACTTCAGTTTCTTTCTGCTATATATTTTCAAGGTAAACCTTACTGGTTGCTGTCCTAATCAAAAATATCTGCATTTGTCCAGCAACATAGGGTCTGTAGGTACCAATAAGCTCTGAAATATCTGCCTTGGTATCTGTCAAACACTCTATCCACCTGATTTATTTTTACATTTGAAAAAAATGAAACCAGAAATTGGCATGCCTCTAAGTACCACTCTTTACCAATTTTTATGCAAGTACTGTTGGTCCGCCAAGATCCTTATGAAGTAGTAAGACATTGCCCTACCTGGAACTGATTTGCTTTCTGATAATGCATGTTTTGTGCCTGGACCTGGCCAATTTACTAAGTAGGCAAGTCTCCCATGGCAGCCTTTTCAGGCTCACTTGCTCGCAAAGTACTCCCAATCTCCAAAAATTTGCCTGCGCTTTTATTATACTCCGTGTATAAATAGCATGATATATTAGTATTTTGATGGTATTTAAAATTTTGCTATGGAACAAGAGCTAGTTTTCTCCACTCTAGTATTTATTTATTTAACTTATTTATTCAATTACTATAGCCGCCCATCTCAATCTTTTAACTCTGGGTGGCTTACAATTTAAAACATCTATTACAATTAAAAATACTAAAAATATTTTAAAATAGTAAAATCACTTTTTTTAAAAATCACACGATGCATATTTTAAAATTAAAATGGATGTTAATTTTAGGCATGTTTACCCATGATGTGCGAATGATTGCAAATAAGTGATTCCTTTACAGATTGTTCTTAGTTTACTTAGGGGCCTTATGTTGCATGCATTCAGATTTCCTGACCTGTTCGAGCAACTCTTTCATGTAGTCATGTAGTATGCATGGAGTTGCTTTAAAACAGGCAGCAATAAGCAAACCTCATTTATTTTTTATTAATGTTTTATTCTTCTTCGCTCCTAGGACAGTCTTCCTCTATTTTATGTATTCCAGATGTATAGGACTTCAGAGATGGCTTGGTGAAGCCCAATACATCTAGAAGCCCGATCACAGGAAGTCTGCTTTTGTAACTTAGTATGATATCCTTGGGTTCCTCTCTTTCTCCCTATTTTTATCCTTCCATAGCCCAGTAGTAGAGAGCAATGTACTACATAAAGGTAGATGTTAGAAAGTAATTTCTTTACAAATGCACAGAAGATTTATAACTTTACTTCTGAAGTGACTCAAGATATTTAAGCCTTTCAGATAACATCACAATTAGTCTTATGATTCTCTTATCCCCTGGCTCAGCCCTGATTGTTTTTCCCATGCTGCTCCACTTTTTTTCCGTCTCTGCACTGGCTTAGCATACTGCTGTGCCATATTGTTGCTGCCCTATTTCTATATTCTGGTAGCAGATTGGGCTTCTATTAGGCTGCAAACCTAAACACGCCCCATAAAGCAATATAGATCCTGTTGAACCTAATGCAGCTGCCATCTGAGTAAATTCACACCAGATTGTACTGTGCAGGGGTTCAGACATAATTTAAATATAATCACCACTTTTATGAACAGAAGCTTCTCATCTTTAAATGGTCAAAGATTACATACGTACACCTTTACCTATTGGAGAATTTTACGTTAACATTCCTAAAGTATTTGAATTTTTCATATAATAAGATGAAATTTTTACAATGCACATTTATTTTATGGAGAATAAAAGCTGATAAAAGCACTTATCAGCTACTTTCTAGACAAGACATATTAATGTCATGTAAATACATGTAGTATAGATTTCTGAAGACTCCTTCAAGTTCTGGAATGTGTGTTCTAATACTGAGAGATGACTCCAATTGGTGTAATTGACAGAGAATGGGTGTCCACCCAGTCTTGTAGAATCTTTTTTTTTCCAATCATAAAAGCACGGAATAACATGTCTAGTCTCCTCTTAGTAGTTTTCAAATGATGAGTATCAAAAGAAAACATCTAAAAGTGTTTTCCAGAACAAAAATCATGTAAAAAACTCTATCGATGAGAGTATTTTATCATACATAATTTATATACACACACATACATACACATGCACATACCAAACTGTTTGTTTCCTTCACTAGGTTTTAGTTTTTCACCTGCATTATTTTATGACTCACCTGTTTTTGCTTTTCACTGCATCAAATCCTGAGCTGAGTTGGTATAAAACAAATTAAACTATTTTTTCTATTACTATGAAGATTCCTGTGGTGTTACAAAGCATCCGTTCTATTACTTCTTACTTTCCCTTTTCTCCAATATGTCTCCTGCCTGTTCTTTTAACTAGTTAGACTGTGTATTCATTTCTCAATAGATGGCACCCTGCATTGTATAGTAAAGCATGTGAAACAGCTGATGTGGGATTCTAAGTTGATAGAGAATTATGCAGTTTAAAACAGGCGAACAGAAGTTAAAAGTGTCATAATTTTAAAGAAATTAGGCTAAATTTTTTGTTTTTGAAAAATAAGCACATGTATTTTTAAAATTCTGAATAGCCAATACCGTACTATAACTCAGTGATAGCCAGGATGTCTTGATATCTTAAGTGTTTACATTTGGAAAGACAACTGGCGACAGAAAATAGTTCCAATATTTGTTAGTTGTATCCAGGAAGGAATGTAGAACATAAGGCCTTTGATTAAAATTATGTATCTTATCCAGAAACGTAGGCATAAGAAGCCAATGCTACTTTAGACTTCATTAAAGATACATACACATATATTTGCTTAAATATTGCTATTTTTCTTATCCTTAAAATTTTTGCATTCCTTTCAAATATAAAATTGTTTTTATAATTTGTTTTTAACTGATCAAAATCACTGCTCAATTGTAGGCAGGAAAAGAAGCGTAAATGCACGGTCCTTTTTAGCGACGGGGGAAATGTAAAAGTTCCCGTTTTGCTAAAAATACTAATGGCCCCAATTCCTTCAGCATGCTAACATGGCCCTGGCAAGCTGGCATTAAAGTGAAGGACAGGTCCTTCACTTTAATGACAAATAAAGTTGGCCTGTTTTGATGAATGCATCTCAATGAGGCTGTGAGACTGTCCTCTCCTGATAAAAAGTAGGTAGATTCACTCCCTGAGTCAGCTGAAGATAGCTTGAGGCACCTCATTATCTCGCCTGCAGAGTAAATGTAGACAGTATGAAAATGCATTTAAAATGTTTGGATCCTTGTATACAGGATTAACCTTGCTGACATCCTAATATTGCTGATTTACACACTTGATTCCCCCATCCTTTTTTTTCTTCAGCAGACAAGAATTTCTGTCATGTATTTAGTACATGTGTTAACAAGTAAAGATGAGGAGGGGAAACTTAAATGCAGCGTAATTGGCAACCATAAGTCGTTAGAACTGTGGCTCTCAGTTGATGTAATAAATTTAGCTCTTCCTTGCAGACTAAATATAAAAACTTGAGTCTGCTTTCTTAGTGTATTGCAGTTTCTTAAACACCTGGATTGAAAACTGTAATAATGAAAACAAGAATGAAGACTGAATTGAACAGTTAGGAATGTTGTGCATCCCTGTAATGTGGCTCATTTGGGGGTCTTTAGTTCAAAATGGTTTGCTTCTTATTTTGAGGAAAGCAAATATAAAGGGCATGCCACACCTATTAAATACTTTAGCATTTGCTTAGATGTCTACCATTTAGAAATATATACCCCAATACTTACACAATTACATGGTGGTTAACCATCTGTATGAGCCACTCAGGCGGCCACTCAATTTCTCTAACGAAAAGCTACACTAGCAAGGAGCATGCATAAAGTAGGATGCAGCAATTAAAATGCTAATTTGTTTATTTTAACCAATGGGCTGCAAGTTAAGGTCACCTTTGTTTATCGTTAATTCTCTTTGGATTCTGGTTTGCAACTGAAATAAACACATTAAGTAAAGTTTTTCCTTTTAACATGAAGTGGTACCTAGTAGTTGCTGAATTTTAATTGTTTTTTTAGTATTTCAAACGTATGCATGTTGAAATTATGGAAATAGAAAATATGTATTTCATTATTCACTTAAAAGGCAACTAATTAATTGCAATATTAAAATTATTGCAAACATTCATAACAACATAACATAAAAAGGACACCATCAGCAGCAATCCAAAATAAAACCTACCCAGCTATCTTAATTTCTTCTATAGTGCAAATTTAATCCAAAGGAAAACATTTCTAATGTTATTTTCATTAGATCATGGGTGTCAAACTCTATCATGTCACGTGACATATCGTGACATATCACAATGTTTTTTGCCTTCGCAGAGCCGGGGGTGGGCGTGGCCTGCGCATGACGCATCCAGCCCACAGGCCACCAGTTTGACAGGCCTGTATTAGATGTTAAGTGAAGTTGTTAACTTAAGGGGAGATTTTAAGAGAATTTTAGATGACTAGTCAAAAGTAAGTGTTATTGTATTCAATGAAACTTATTCCTAAATAAATAAAACTGCATGTTAAATGGGATTGCAACACAAAACTCAGTTGAAGGTTTTACACAGCTTGTTTTTTATTATGGTTTGTTAAACAAGCTACAGTGACCTACTCTGTACAGAATACTAAGACATCACGGATGAATTCACACATACCCAAAAACCAAACACATCACATTATGTCTTAGTGTCAAGTGTTAACCAGGCCAGTAAACAAAAATTCTCAAGAGAAGAGTTGGTGTTTATATGATCAAATATTACCAAAAAAGCATGAAATGCTTCCTGTTACAGTTATTAAAACTGCCAGTTTAAATGAAGGTGGAGTTGCAAAGAAGTAATTAAAAGCACACTTCCATAGTGATACTTAAAACACGCATCAATGCTTAGACAGGTTTCCAAAGCAATTTACACCAACAAAAAAGTAGTGTTTTTTAGAACTTGATGTAATTATATCTAATTAGCCTGGAAGGATTGATGACTGACCACAGTACAAGATGTACAAGATAAATCTGTAAAGGCCCTGTGACAAATCTTAAATATTGTTTAGACAAAGCACTAACTCTAAGAGAAACAGTAGCTGCTTCTCTGTTCCCCATCCCTTTTAAATTAACTACTTTATTTCAAAATTCACACATCAATAATATGGTTAGGAGTAGATATATACATATTTTGTATATTGTATTTAAATATCAAAGAAAACATGTAGATTCAAATGGCATGTTCTTACATAATAAAATAACACAGAGAACTTCTAGAAATATATCCTGGGTTTTGTGCCCTTGTCATTTTGTTATTGCATAATCACATTTTCAAAATACATATTATCTTTAAAAAGAACCCAGTCTTGAAACACCGAATGTATATTTGCTTACCAAAATTATTCTGGCTTGTGTGCCATAATCAATGAACTCCTTATTTAAGACTTCAATATTCATGTATTTTGATTGTTTTAAAAATATGAAGTGCTAGTGATCAAAATTCTTACATAATATGAATTCCAGTGCCTTAGCATTATAGTTATAGAAGTAAAATATAATGTCTATATTTATCATGCTAGAACTGCTGACCAAATGTGCTAGTTAATGGTAATCAGTTCTAAAATTAAAAAGAAATAAAATATTTTACATGCTTCAGGCTTTAGACCAGGGTTTCTCAACCATAGCATTTAAAACTATGTAGATTGCTTTAGAGAAAATCCAAGCTTATTCTTTAGTAAAATGCTACATATTTAAGGAAACTAACTAGCACTAAACACCTGTCAGTGAGAACGCAACACTGATTATACAGAAAGCATTCATTCCTTTTCCCCCTTTTCTTACAGCCTCCGTGGAAATCTTACTGCACTCAAGACACTGACTTACTGGCACTTGCTTCTGAAGACTCGGAACTCAGACAGTCAGGAATATGTGAATTCTGTCAGAAAGTCTTTCCACCATCTCTTACATCCAGGGAGGATTTTCTGAGGCATCTGAATTCACATTTCAACTTGAAGTCTTAGCATCACTGGAAAACAGACAAGTTTTATTTAATTTAATTGTGGATGCTGTCTTTGATCTTGGTCCCAACAGATATAAAAATTTGAGAATATAAGGTGGCATTTATAACAATCTGTTGCGTTCATGCCCAACATTAATATAATTAAAATCAGATACAAAGCCCTAAAATAAACATATTGAAACTCCTTTTGAATCAACATGTCTTGAGTTAAAACTTGTAGTTGCAGAGGGATGATCCAGTCCGATATGTAACAAACAAAAATTGGGATCGTATTTTGTATATAGAACTGATAAGTGTGTATCATTGTTTATATTTCTAAATAACATTTATTTATTAGTATACAATTTTTAACATTTGGCATACCAGTTAAGAAGTACATGAAAATAAGTGCTATGCATATTAGTTCTTGCAAGTACACATTGACCCTTATATTAGGCATTTAACTATGAACAATTTATGAAAGTGAACTTCTGGCTTATGTTATCCCTTTTGTAATAAACCAATGACCCACATGTTTCACCAGCTTATAAGTGGTATATTAATGTCAAAATGAACCATAAATTCATTTATATATAAGTACACTTCAGTGGTGGGTTCCTACCAGTTCGGCCCGGTTCAGCTGAACTAGTAGTGATTTGACAGTCGGAGTGGCTGGAACTGGCAGTGGCCCAGGCCTGCCACGCCCCTGAACTGGTTCTAATTTTTATTGTACTGTGCACATGTGCACAGCGCACACCAAGCGTGTGCATGCAAAGCACCCACAAGCAAAACGACTGCCGGAACCCACACCTGATATGAATGGAATATGTATGCAGGTACAAATGCTTTATTCTATGGCCCTATATCTATTTTATTCCTATTCACATACAAAAAAGTTCTTTAGAACAGAACTTTGTAATGTAGTTGACTTGGTAATAGAAAGTGACAATCGGTTACTATTTAAATACAGCAAATATTCTTACCTCTACTACAGCAAGACTAAAAGTTGGACTTCCCATACTTAAAAAAATAACCCTGCTATTCAAAGTCAGTGTGGCATGATCAACTTGGGCTGAGATTTAGGGTTTAGCTTCTTACATCTAACTTTGAACAGAATCACGGACTTCCATGAAGAAGGCAATGGCTATGTTGCAACAGCCTTATCCTGCATGTGCTTAACTAAAGTCATTGAAGGCAAAGGATTCTGTCATCTGCAATTCTGTCTATTGCATACAAGGAATTTATAACCAATGTGTGGGCTGTCCTCCATAAAAAATAAAAATATCCAGCACTTTGCTGACTTTGTTCAGACCGAGAGGTGAGGCAGAGCAGGTCAAGCCTGGTTTGAACTTGGGTAGGGGACGTGCAGCCATATCAATGAAATAACTAGGAATCCAGCTCAACTCCACAGGCTTTTTTCTTTTTTCTAATTAAATGGCACTCAGATATTAAATATACAGGAAAAAAATTTATTTCCTTGGTAAGTGAAATCACGTTTTGCACACAGTATCACTGAGATTCAGTCCCATCACTCCCAGAGCTGGAGACATGGAGAATCATTACAGACAACCCAGATAATATTGAGCAAAAGGGTAATCCTCAACTTACGATCACAATTGAGCCCAATATTTATGTTGCTAAGAGACATTTGTTCAGTGAATTTTGTCCTGTTTTACTACTTTTCTTGCCATAGTTGTTAAGTGAATCACTGGTTAAGTTAGTAAAATGGTTGCTAAGTGAATCTGTCTTCCCCATTGACTTTGCTTATCAGAAGGTGATCACATGATCCTGGGACATCAGGAGTCACTTGCCAAGCACCTGAATTTTGATCACATGACCACGGGGATGTTGCAACAATCACAAGGGTGGAAAAAGATCATACGTCACTTTTTTCGGTGCCACTGTAACTTTGAACAGAATTGTTGTAAGCCAAGGACCACTTGCATCTGATTCTGTATAAGACCCCTTATATAGAAGCACATACATAGAATCAATTGTTCAAGCTTAGGAGAGGTGAACCAAAATTCATTTCTCCTCTAATTGATTCCTCTTGCTACATTGTTCATAATGAAAGTTCCTAATAGTCTAGTCTAGTAGTTTTTCTTAATCTCAGCAACTTCAAAAAAAATATCATTTGGGGTATTCTGGGAGTTGAAGTCCACATCTTAAAGTTACTAAGGTTGAGAAACACTAGTGTAGTCAGTCCTCAGTTTATAAGTTTCCTTGTAAACTAAGGACTGACTAGGCCAGTGATTCCAGCCTAGATTATTTTCTTCTTTCTCTAAACTGACTGGTATTATGACGAATCCTGAAACTGGAAACAAGAAAAAAACCAAGGAATTATATGAAGGCCTAATCTAATCATTGTGGGATATGATAGATGAAGTTTGAAAGTTCTAGATCAGCAGCCCCCAACCTTTTGGGCCCCAGGGACTGGTTCCGTGGAGAAAGTGTTTTCCGCAGACTGGAGAGGACATGGTTTTGCATGCTGCCTGCATCCCACAGATGGGGCTTCACTTGTTTGCGGTTGCAGGCATGCTGCGGACCAGTGCCGGTCCATGGACTGGGGGTTGGGGATCCAGTTCTAGATGTTGAACTACAACCTCCAAAAGTTCCAGGCCAGCGTGACCAACAGTGAAGGATCCAGTTATGGATCAGCAACATCTGAGATTCCCTACTTCTGAATTAAGAGGAAACTCTACTTTAGTAGTAGAGTCACAAAGATCTGTGGCCAAGTCCACAATCTCCAGTTTAAAACAAGATTAGTCATTTATATTGAACTTATTACAGTAATCCATTTTACCTACTACAGTGTAGTATTTTTCAGGAAGCTCTACAAAACGTATAAATGGAGCCTATTGAATTTTTATTCCAGATGTAAGAATTTGTACAGTGATAAGTTTTAATACAGTGTCGATATATGCAATTAAAGGTTCTTTTTTTTTACTTTCTCAAAATGTCTTGTGCAGTAGAAATATGACATGTCCATGTTATAACTGGGCTGGGGGAGTGATGCCTTGCACGATTTGTTACTCATTTGGTCATGCAAACATCTTTTACAATTTTGGTTACAACCTCTAGGTCTAGGATATCCTTGACAAGCTGTTAAAACCTGTGTGCTAAAATAAATATTCTACAGATTTTACTTGTAGCATGCTCCAGAATATTTTTGATTTTTCAAACTTTTTGCAAATGTATATATGATAGGAACAGAGAGATCTCTTCAGCCCTGCCTGTTTATGCTGCTTTGGAGGATGAATTTGGGAAAGAAAAGTCATAGCATGGTTTGAAAATAGCATCTGATCCTAAAATTATAGGTATATAACAGGAATATATATGTTTAATGTAATGTATTTATGTTCTGTAATCCTTCAATCTACAGAATGCTGTGTTAACAAAAACAATCAAACTAGACAACTGAAAAATGAGAGGAAGCTGCTAATTTGTTGAAAGGGACTTCTAGAATATAAACTGAGAGCAAACCCCATTCCCTACTTGCACTGATGATGTTACCTAGTTTGGGTAAGCAACAAAACAACGAAGCTCAGAGTCCACTAAGGACCTTCATTTCAACCCTGGGCTACATTGTCCTTTATCAAAAGGGACCTCTAGTTTGCACAAGTAAACACAAGGGATCCCTCCAAGGGATATTGCACCCATTATATCTGATTTTGGGAATTGTAGAAAGATAGCCCAATCATTACATTACAACCTTATTAAGGTGGAGAGCTACTTGTTGCACTGCCAACATTATACTACAAGAATAATTCACCTGTCTAGAAAAAACTGCTTATCCAATCCACCAGATTTTATTTGTATGTCGCCCTAAATTTGTTTTTTTATGAAACAGAAAATACAAGAATCCAATCTTCAAAATGAGCTATAGATTAAATACAAGATGTCCGCCCCCCCCCCAGCAATTTCCAGCCAAGATGAGTGATGGTACAGTACACAGACAATAAGCACAGTGCTATCTGACAATAACTTTGTTCCTTAAAGGGTAAAGAAATCCTGTTGTAGAATTCTTGCAGATAAGGCAGTCAGCAATGATTTTCTGCCTGTGGAGCACCACCTAGGCAAAGTCAAAGAGTATATTATATATTAACCTCTCAGTATGGCCCATCCTTACGTGGAGGCCATTGTCTTGAAAGCAAAATTCTGCAAGGCCTGCTTAACAGGATGCCACTGTATAGATACCCTGATTTTACCACTGCAGAAAGCAACTACTTGTAAGCAAAAAAAAAATCATATCGGGATTTGGGAGTATATGGCATTCTGCCCTCCCGGATTACGCTGTGATATTTAGCTAGGAGTGGGTAGAAAACAATAAAGAATAAACGTGTTCCTCTTGGAGTTGGGGGGAGGGAGCAGCCATCCCCGTCCGTTACCCGAGGAACCTCAGGCAGTAAAATGGAATAAACGCGGCCTTAGCTCAGCAAAAATGACTGGATTCAACAGAGGCCCGGGTTGTTTTTAACGCGCAGTAATGGAAGGAAGCAGAAGTTGAAGAAAAATGAGAAGTCCCTCCTATTATTACCCCACCTCGGATAATAAAGCGCTATTGCCATCCTCTCCCTCCCGCAATGCATATATAATGTACGGAAGGGCCCGTTTTCCACGCTCCGACAGGCAGGCGAGCAGGTGGGGGGGGGGGGCAACTTCCAACAAAACGCAGCAACCGGAGAAAAGCACCGAGGGGCGAGGACGCTCGTCCGGGGACAGCCACGTGCGAGCTCTCTCCCAGCTACCTCGCCAGCTGCTTCTTTGCCATGCCGGTTTCCCGTAATTAGGCTGTCACCGCTCGTTAGAGGCGAGCGGGAAACGCTCCTGTGACAGATTCCACTAGTTCATCGAGGGGGTGCGATTTTCGAAGGGAAATTTAGTCTATTAATTTGAGGTCTCCAGCTCTGTCCTTTTCTGGAGGTTCCCTCCGCAGTTTGTTTATCTCCACACTCAGCTAGACTTCCTTTTCCCTTCGCCTTCCAGCCCGCCAAGAAGCGCCAGATCTGAGTCAATCCACCATTGCAGTTTGGCCCGGGCCGCGGGGCCTCCCTTGCAACGACCTGCCGTGAGCTGAAGGGGGCGTGCTGGAACTGCCACCCCCACCGAGCCCGGGGAATGCTCGCTAGGGGGAAGCGCTTCCTTTCGCCCGCGGCGGAGCTCAGGCGTTCTCTCCTCTCTCCTCTCCCCCGCCACCCCATTGACTAACCCACCTATTTGTCGGAAGCTTTGGTAGGCTCGCACCCCCCCCTCTCCCCAATCTTCCTCCCTTTGCAATTCATGCAAGGTTAACTCAACAGAGAAGACTCAATCCAAATGGCAACTGGCATTGCATTTATTAAAGAAAAAAGAAAAAAAAAGGAAATCTGAAGGAAAAGAGGGAGCGTGGGGTGGGGGTGGGGGGGCATCAGAAACGGGAGAAAGAAAAGAGAAAAAGCAGCAGGCTGATTACGAGGTGTCAAAACTGCCAGGAGCAAGAAGGTGATAGCAATCAGGGGTGAGAAGAGTGCGCCATTCGTGCGGGGCAGCTAATTATC